GTCTTTCATGAACCTTGCCCTGGCATTATCACCACTAACAACAATGTATCATGACTTCTTAATGTCGTTCTCTTCACTATCATAATGCGAACATTGAGCGCACACCCGAACGAGCCGAGGCACCCCTGCTTTTAGCTAGCGCAAGTGATGGGGCTGAACATGGTAGCCCAAGCAACCCGGAGACGTAAACAAACGCGGTACGCCCACGTTTAATCGGCGAATCATGCATCACCGTGACCCATGGATCTGGACTGATGACTTGCATTAGCTCTGCATGCTGCAGGTTGGCCTCGAACGAATGTTGGCATTGCCCTGCTGCGACCTGCCACGTTCCTTGAGATCCTTCCTCCTCATCTTGGCGCCCCTCTATTTATTTTCAGCCATTCTGTCAGCATCAACAAGTGACCCCTCTCTCTCAGTGATTAGCTTCAACAGACGTCCATACTTGCTCCCATCAATTCGAATCTCAAAAAGCATCCGGCAATGACAATGCATTGAAGAGCAAAGGAGCATGCCTAGGTGAAAAAAACACCGGCACTCGGTGCTGCAGCATTTCTTGGGCCTATAATGGCAACCTTTCCCTACAACCCTACAAGGATCTTGTCTTCGCCCACCTCGGACGATATAATATACATTTTTCAACCTGGTACACCAGGCTCCCCCAATTCCCAGCTACTCGCGCTGAATACAACGAGCACGCTCGGCGCTACAAATTTGCCCTGCTCAACCGTCTCTCCAACGCTCCCTTTCCTAGATGGACCCCAAAGTGCCTACACACCAACAATTGACGATAAAGGGAATATATTGGCGTATTCTGGCAATTGCAGTGATGCAGCGGAGGGGTCAACGTTCTGGCAGTTCACTCCTACAAGCGAAAGCTCGAACCTCAACGGAACATGGAAAGAGCTCGATCTATCAATAGGAGGAGTGAGTGGTAATAATGTGCTGGACGGCGCGAACTATCTGGCGGCAGCTCTGGCCTTCTCCAGTACGGTCAATGCCACCTCTGAGATGTACATCTTTGGAGGGATGTGCCCCAATTCGACTATCTCAACAGCAGATGATTGGACACAAGCGGCATACTATTCCAGCAGCATGTTGACCATACAACCCGATTCTCCCCTGGCTTCAACGTATTATCTTGGTATCACGTCAAGCAGAGGGCCACCAATTGCAGAGGCTGGGTTCACCATTACCCCACTCATGCCAACCTTCTTCAATACAGGGAACGACAGTAGTACCCAATCTCAGAATCAGAACTTCGTCCTGCTTGGAGGTCATACGCAAGCAGCCTTCATCAATATGTCCCAAGTGGCGCTCTTTTCAATGCCCGAACAAAGCTGGAGCTTCTTGCCTATAGAATCACCAACAGATGCCCCCAATACAGACCTCGCGGCTAGAGATATGACCGCGGTCGACCCGAGATCCGGTCATACAGCCCTACTCACCTCAGATGGAAAGAGAGTCATTCTTTTTGGCGGATGGGTAGGAGATGTGACAAACCTAGCAGATCCGCAATTGGCAGTCCTCGAACTTGGGCAAGGATATGGTGGGAGCGGCGACTGGCAGTGGAGCGTACCAAGCCAAACTGGACCAGGTCTTGCTGATGGAACAGGAATATATGGTCATGGTGCCACGATGCTCCCAGGTGATGTCATGATGATTGTTGGAGGATATCAGATTCCGGCCTCCAGTGGCTCGAAGAGGAAACGGGCGGACCCTTCAGCAAGCGCCAACACATACTTTTTCAACACAACATCAAGCACATGGATCACAAGCTATGCTCATCCCAAAATTGCGACTAGCAATGGTTCTTCTAACAGCGCCGCCGCTAACTCGAATGCTGCTTCGAGGAGAGCTGGACTAGGAGCTGGACTCACTCTCGGCATCTTGGCGATCATTATCATTGTCGCTGTGTATTTCTGGTACAGTCGTCGATTGAAACGTCGCAGAGATGCACGGGAAGATGAGTTGCGCCATCTGTCAGCTGGTGCCCATGGAATTAGCTTGTATAATGATGGCTCTAGCCCTACTCCAGCCAGGCCACGTGAAATGACGACTGTGGATTTTGCAGAAGACAATCGAATGTCACGAGAGCCGCAGCCACGGCCGCTTGGTCCTGGCGGATATTCCAATGGATCTGGCCGTAGCGAGCCTAACGCAGAGAGGACAGGCCTACTCTTCGAGATCCCAAGTCCTACACGAGGTTTGCGAAGGTCTCTATACTCTCGAGGAACATATCAGCCCGCACCACGGTATGAGGATGGACGACAGACTCCCGGATTCAGTACCATCCACCCAATTGATGAGCGCGATGAGTATGATGAAGGACTCATCGGCGGAACGCAGTCGGGAGACAACGAAATGATGCAAAGAGACGGTCATAACGTGCTAAGCCACGTTCCAGTTCTTGACCCTTTCCATGACCCAGTGGGTAGTTCACGAACACCCTCACCACAGTCACCGCAGGACAGAGAGCATGAAGTCCGCAACTGGGTGTCTGACTGGACAGTTGCGAATGCAATGATGCACTCTCAAGTGGGCCGCCTCTCGCCTGAAAAGAACGATCGAACATCTTCAACGCTTAGTGACCAATCTTCCCGGTCTGGCTTGTCGTCTTATTCGATGCAGAACTCGGTCGGAAATTTGAGCAGGAGCCTATCACAGCGCTCGGCGGCGCTGTTCAGCACGACTGCTTACCGCTCCACGAATGATACCACACCATCAGATCACCTACAAAGCGCACCACAACGTTACAGTCCTGAGCATCGGCGGTCTCGGTCCTTGACCCTCGACCCAGTTTTACGGCGGACTGCTGTTTCCGACAATTTGACCACCGCAGGCCCGTCTTTCCCTCAACTGCAATCAGAGGGCGAGGCATTGCTTGGCGACTATACGGACTCCGGAGGACCATCCCCAACAAGAAGTCATAGTCGAGCAAGGGGTTGGATGGGGAGTGTACGTCGCGCGTTTTCTGGACTAGATCGAAGCGCTTCGACGTCGCCTGAGAACAACACAAGCAACTCGTCTTCGCCAACCAAGCGCGTTTTCTCGGAAGGTGGGCTGCCTCGGCGAGCAGCCAGCACAGGCGCTATGCTGTGGCAGAGAAGACAAGGTGCGAGGGACTGGGATGTCGGCGAGCAGGGAGGTAAAAGTGGTGAACATGAGCAGGATGGCAATGACGAAGAATGGGACGTTGAATCTGCCGTGGAGAGAAGGGTGGTGCAGGTGATGTTCACAGTGCCAAAAGAAAAGCTACGGGTGGTCAACCGGGGGCCTGATGGCGACGATGAAAGCACTTTCAGCGCCGAGGTCAAAGAGGCAGGTGATGGAGTGGAGGATTTTGATAAGGGAAAAGGAAAGGAGAAAGAATAAGGCGTTCGAGGCATTCTTCGCAGGATGCAATACTACTTTTGTTCATGTGGATTATCTAGGGAAAATTTTATCGGGCAAATTGACATACGGGGGAGGACCTATGGGATACTATTGGCAGCAATGTCAGCGAGCGTGTGAATATAGAGTACATGTATGTCATCAGTCTCCAATTTTCAATCGAATCCCAAAATCACATCATCATTTACGTTGTGTCTTACCTGTTCACGGCGACGCGAGCAAGTCCTGATTGTCTGCCTCACAGAGCCAGCGAGCATGATCGGGCGGGGCTGTGCTCAGGCAGCGGGTCCGCAGCATAGGAGAGGGAGATGAAACAGCAAGTTGAGGTTAAGAACAGGAGGCAACAAGGAGGCTGAGCGCTTGAGTTATCCAAGTACTTGTAGTCAGCTACTGCCGTCTAGCATGCTTCTAACGCCCTTCTACCGCATCAGAGGGGAAAGATTGGTATGAAAGTGGAATACTCGTATCTTATCCATTATTTCGCGCTAGGTAAGGCAATGCAGGCTTCCTCTGCCTCCTAACTCCTTAAGGTTTAGCCCGTAATCTTGTACTTTGCTTTAGACGCCGGGATTTTGGACCTCAGGAGAGGATTGAGAGAAGTGTCGTACCAAACAAGATCTGTTCTATTCCTGGCTTGTCGCATCATCTATATCTTCATCTTCATCTTCATTCCAGAACCCTCGTCTCCAACATCAGACTACTAAAGTACTCGCCCACATATCCATCGTATTAATTCGCCGACAAGCGCACCGTCACCCCCCGACTTCCCCCTTCCCCCCCCCACAATCGATAGCCCATACACGCCCATACCCCAGACCAATCCACCAACTTCAGCCGGTAGCGAAAAGAGTTACTTTAGGTGTGGAGCCTCTACTTGCCCGATCTCATATTTTGCGCAGCCTCAGGGCTTAGACTCTGATATCCACTCTTACCCTTTTCAGACTTCTGTGCTAACACATTCATGTTGACCGAATAGCGTTCCACGATCCTGCTCTCATAACAGCGTGTTACCTGTATGGTCTCCACTCGACCCTAACGCTTCGAACTCCGTCACTGCATCATAATCGTTTGGTGTAAACCTTCTCTATTCTACCTTGCGGAGCGCCTGAATACAAGAGTATTCCTGCCTACCCAATAATATCCATCATATCAACACACAAGGCTACGTCCTGATATCTACAAAACTACTTGTCCACAAGATCGCTCGCTACCGTCAAATCTCAATGCGCATTCCATTCGGAGTCAGCTTCTAGAAGCGGAGAAAACATCCCTCGAGGCCCCAATAGAGACACACAACAACGGTCGATCCCGCTCGAAACACTGTTTCTGCCTGAAACAGACGCCGATCGCCGACTGTTCGCCCCCATCCAAGAGGCGAGCAAAGGAGGCATTGCTCAGCGTTCCTCCTCTTGTCAGGAGGACTCGCACCGACTACCCTTGCACAGCCCCAAGACACAACATCATCGCTCTCGAGCGTACTGGAGCAGATCTTCAAGAGCGCCCTACATCGTCTCAAGGCTGGACTCCGCAGCCTATTGAGCACGGGATAGCTGGTTCAACCGAGCGCATTTTCGACCTAATAAAAGCATATAGGAACCTCGTCAAACATGATGGAAACACAACAACACCGTGGGAGGTCATTGTCGGCCGGGCGCCAGTCTGACCCCCGTATAAGACATTCTCCATCGCCACAAAATCGTCATAACCAATCATCGCCTTCAGGCCTCCCAACCACTTCTACAAACTTCACGTCTCAGGCTTTCGACTCGAACCTCTCCACTACAGCTGGGACTGGTCTACAGTACGGCTTGTCTCCCTCATATATGAATGGGTCTGCTCTGCAACCGCAATTTCAACAACACGTGCTACCCAGCAACGATTTCGGTGATCAGAGGTTTGAGCAGTCATATCAGCAAAATGGTCTAGATCAAAGTTTTGGGCAAGACTCTTCACACATCAACGGTCGACAAGAGGGTCAGTCATATCAATCAGATCCGCTTGGACTGGGAGCCAATCTGTCCGACTACCGCCAACAAGACTTCGGCGTGAAGCAGGAACAGTCCTACGAACACAGCTTCATACTAGACCCTCAATTGGACCCGCCCCAGCAGAACCACATAAACCCGGCAGACATAATGAGTAATATTTCCTCACCGCAAATCATGAACCCAACTCCGCCGAGCCTCATGCCGCCAGATGCACATTCATCAGGACCAGCTTCCCCAATTACGAATCAAGGCCAGCAATGGTCTCCACATCATTCTCGACATGCTTCGCTGGATCCATCCGCTGCCTTCACGAACGGGCACCAATCGGCAGAATGGTCGGGAATGCTCACAGGATCGCAATTCCAGAACCACCGGAGGGCTCCATCAGAGCATTCCGATGTTTCATCTTCCGTTGCACCTTCACCTTACATGGCACAGCAAGATACTTTCGACACTTTCGACCAGAACCCATCGCCAATGTTGAACCCCCAGCAGGACGAACAGCTTTACCAAGGAGGCCTAGGCATCGAGTCATTTACCCTGTCAGAACCACAGCAGCAGAGGAATAGTCCGAGACATAGCCCTTTTGTGTCACCACGCATGTCCCCTCAGCCTGGAATGGGACTTGCCCAAGAAAATAACTTCATGCCTTTGTCCCAGGCAAATAACAACTTCAATGGAGGTCCTGGATCGGAGTTGTACACCAACAATCAAGCAGAAACCTTTCCCCCATTCCAACACGAAGAGAGACTAGGTTCGAACGACATGGGTCAGGCTGCTCAAATGGTACCACCCGAGATCAACGTTGAATATGCACCCACGACACGCCAGCAAAGCTTCGAGCCTCCAAGATATGAGCAGTCTGACATGGATGCATTGAGTCCTCCGGACAGAGGTGACTTTCGCCCTGTTCCACTCTTGACCCCACCTACTAACAACGAACCAGGTCGAAAAGGGCGCATGCGTGCCAAATCAGATACCAACCTATATTCACGCCCAGCGACTCCCAGCTCTTCGCAATCGACCTTGGGCTCCACCGACTCACACATCGATCAACGACATCGATCTCTCTCGCCATATGACATGGGTTATTCCCCTAGCGTTTCCAGCTCCAGAGAATCTTCGCCCGCACCTAGATCACCGTCTCGCCGCTCGTCGACCTCTTCGATCCCGAATCGTGATTACATCCTCGAGCTGGCCGACCCCAGTCGACCACCGGCTTCTGGAACGGAAAAGCGGATTCAAAAACATCCTGCCACGTTCCAATGCACCCTCTGCCCCAAGAAGTTTACTCGTGCTTACAATCTCCGATCGCATCTTCGCACTCATACGGACGAGCGACCATTCGTATGCACAGTCTGTGGCAAGGCTTTCGCTCGTCAACATGATCGCAAAAGGCACGAGGGGTTGCACAGCGGAGAGAAGAAATTTGTTTGCCGTGGTGAGCTTGGCACAGGCGGCAGCTGGGGATGCGGCAGAAGATTTGCTCGTGCGGACGCTCTCGGCAGGCATTTCCGAAGCGAAGCCGGCAGAGTCTGCATCAAGCCATTGCTAGATGAAGAGGCGATGGAGCGACAGCGTGTATTCGACGAGCAGATGATGAACCAGAGCATGCAAGTTGGTGGTATGGCGCCTCAGCCACCTATGAACGGCAACCAGAACGGTGGCTTTGCTCTCCCCGCTGCACTGTTGTTGCAGTACCCGGCTTTGCAGGGTCTGCAGTGGGATCAACTAGGTCAGCCTGGAGCTGGTGACGAAGGAGAGATTAGTGGTCGGAGTAGCTTTGATGCCAGTAGCGGTGGGGAATACTTTGATGAGGCCGAGGAAGCTGGCTATGTGAGTGGGCCTGGCACGGCATACTCGACCAATAATGGCTGGGAAGGGGAGCTGGGGAGGGGTTGGGCGAGCGATTACGGAGAGTGAATCACTGACGGCTGTATCATGATGCACATGTCACCTCGATCTTGTTTCAACTTGTTTCATAATGTCGGTCATTCTTTTCGGAGGAAATATACCCATTGCTGTTGGGATGCTGGACGGATTCACACATCAAGCTGGCTTCCATGGGGAAGGAGCACAGCACAGGCGCAGGGATTACAACTGTTTCATCGTGGCTGCTGTACCCTCCAGCGAGTGATGGCTGGGAGTCACATAGACTTGCTTGTTGCATACCATTTTTATTGTTGATGATGAATTGCGTGTCTGAATACACTAATCGCTCGATGCAGTCCATCTTACTTGGAGGATTCACATTTAATTACCCTGGGGCGTCAGCTCCGACCGTGAAGCTATCATAGTGAAGCAGAAGTACCTCCATCGGTATGAGAAAAGGCGAAGAAGGCTCGTCCATATCACAAAAGGGGCCTCTACATCGGCCGAGCCTAACGCCGGGGAATACGAATCCGGATTTGATATGCGCCACTGAACTCGATGCCTGTCAGCCAGACAAGGTCTCTCAAGTTTTCAATGTACTCTAGACAAACCGAGAAACATCTTAGGTATTATCAGAAGTGATCGAGTCGGATGTAGTGTCTTAGGCAGAAAAAGAAAAGTGATAGGAAGCTCCCTTTTTATTGCCACTGTGAAGTAACTAGTGAAGGGGGACTTGGGGGGGGGGATAGGAATAATGCTAAGCTTAGCCTTATGAGAAAGGTCACGCCGTTGCCTAGGCCGCAACCAACGAATCAATCAATCAATCAATCAATCAGCAGCTTACTTCGTTTTAAACTAAAGTAAGTAAAGTAAAGTAAAGTAAAGTAGCTTAGGAAACCCACCTACACAAGATAACCGCCTCGAGCCTGCGATTAGCCTCAAGACTTTACTTCCCATCGTCCAACAACATCACATCACATCCCCCAGAAACTACCTTACATACATACATCACACGAGCACTCTCTTCTGCTTCTACTTTTACTTCTACTTCTACTTCTACCACTTGAACTCCTTCAATTTCTATTTGTCCTTGTCGTCAAAACACAACCACTGCATAGGGAGTGCGCACCACAACCTACCTCCCGCAAGCACTAAGCCTGCGTCGTTTGACAAGTACGTCCTTCTCACCAAACATCAAACCTGCCTCGCTCAACAACCACCTCCACCATTTAACACCCCTCTCCATCTCAACTCCCACCCATTTTCATCTGCGCAGTATATATTGCTACACTTCTTGCCTCTCATCCAAGCAAGGCCGGTCTTGCTGACGTGTACACCCGTACAGCATGGCTGAAATCCGACGCAAGCTCGTCATCGTTGGCGACGGTGCCTGCGGAAAGACCTGTCTCCTAATGTAAGTGTCTCCCTTTCCGCTGTCACCATCGCACACGACCCCGCCCTGCATACGGCTTGCTGACTTCGGCCTTCTTCATCAGCGTCTTCTCCAAGGGCACCTTCCCAGAGGTCAGCATTCCCAGTATCCCATGCCCCGCGTCACGCGAGCTTCTACACTTGCCAGCACCAACTGAGCATCGCCCCATGTCGACCCTTCCGACTGCCTCCCCCTAGCTACAGCACTGACATCTCCGCTATAGGTATACGTTCCCACGGTCTTTGAAAACTACGTTGCCGATGTCGAGGTCGACGGGAAGCACGTCGAATTAGCCTTATGGGATACGGCAGGACAAGAAGATTATGACCGTCTCCGTCCACTCTCGTACCCCGATAGCCACGTCATTCTCATTTGCTTCGCCGTCGACTCGCCCGACTCACTGGATAACGTGCAGGAGAAGGTACGAGGCACCTCCCGACACAGAATGTGCTTTGACATCGCCCTACGGCTATCGAAGAGAACGAAACACTGATAGAATTGTTTACACAGTGGATATCCGAGGTGCTGCATTTCTGCCAAGGTCTCCCGATCATCCTCGTAGGATGTAAGAAAGATCTTCGGTATGACCAGAAGACGATTGAGGAGTTGCACAAGACGTCTCAGAAGCCTGTGACCCCAGAGCAGGTAAGTTTCTCAAAAGACTGGAGAGAAACCCGCTCGAAAGCATACTGTACCTCGAACCTCCCGCACAGCCGGTCGCTAGAAGCAGCTGTTATATATCCACAAAGAACATGATAACTGACATGCATGTCTATAGGGTGAGGAGGTGAAGAAGAAGATTGGTGCACGACACTATCTAGAGTGTTCGGCGAAGACGAATGAGGGAGTGAGGGAGGTTTTTGAGCACGCTACACGCTCAGCACTGCTTTCCAAAAAGGGCAAGCATCACGGGGACGGAAAGAAGTCGAAGTGTTTGATCCTGTAAGAGATCATAGGTTTAGAGTAGCAGGAGGTGTCAGGAGTGGGCGTGGGGGGCAGCAAAGAAGGAGGTACGGGGGCATTCGGAGAGCAAAGATACAACCAGTGTTTCTTCTAGAATGCGACATGCGGCCGGTTTCGATCGATCCATACCGAGGGTTCGATCACGTCGGACGGATGAGTCCACGAGCTTTTCCTTCCACAATCTTTTTTCCTTTGGGATCCGGGCGTCCCTCGAGCACCGGACGATCGAAATGGAGTCCATTCCGCATCGTAGCAGCATCCACCCATCTGTACCAGCACGCGTTTCTCCTGCCGCCGCGGGGAGGCTGTCCGGTGCGCGCGACCGGACCATCACTGCGGCTGTGTTTCGACTTTACTTCTTCATTCAGAGCAGACTAGTATAATTTATCCGCCCGACCTCTTCAGTTGTTGTTTGCCATCTCTCTCTCCCTCCTCTTTCCTCTCCTTTAGCATCCTTTCCTTTCCTTTCCTTTCCTTTCCTTTCCTTTGACATCCTTTCCTTTCCTTTCCTGTCCTTTGGTATCCTTTAACGTCCTTTCCTCTCCTTTCCTTTCCTTCTCTTTTCTTTGACATCCTTTCCTTTCCTTTCCTTTAATATCCTTTCCTTTGACATCCTTTCCTTTCCTCTCCTCTAACATCCCTATCGCAAACGTCGTCCCGTAGCATGTGTGCCCCCCTTCCCTTCCCTTCCTCCACGCTGTCGTCGTCTGTATCTCCGCCCATCTATACATTGTATGCTTTTACACCTCCACTGCTTATCCGATCCGGGAGGTCCTCTTGCCCTCCCTTCTCCCCAACAGCCATCTTCCCGCTCGATCGCCATTCGATCCATAAAGCTCACTTTTTCCTCTTGTGAGATCTCTCGCACCTTATCTGTTTGTCTGGCTGTCTGGCTGTCTGGCTGTCTGTCTGTCTGGCTGTCTGTCTGTCTGTCTGGCTGTCTGTCTGGCTGGCTGGCTGGCTGGCTGAGATGATATGATATGATGGATATGATGGATATGATATGACGGGGCGCCGTTTCTATCGTTACGGAAAGGAGGGAAGGAAGGGAGGAAGGGAGGAAGGGAGGAAGGGATCGTAGTTACGTTACTGTTCTGAGCGAGGATTCAGATGGCTGGATGGATGGATGGATGGGTCTTGGGGGGTAAGGGGTAGGGATGGTGGATGGATGGATGGGTCTTGGGGGGTAAGGGGTAGGGATGGTGGATAGTGGGGATGTCATGATATCGATCTCTGAGGGGCGATAGATAGATAGATAGATGGGCGGTAAGTGGGTCAGGCAGGGTTAGATAAAGGTACTTTAGGGTTGGGACGGATGGAAGATGATGATGGCGTTGGAGCTTGGTAGGATTTTTGTTTGAACATACGTAGATACGTATCCATCATCATCCACTCGACGAAGACTAAAGCTGAGTTTTGTTCCCTCCGCCTTCTCCTTTCGAGTCCAGCGCCCGTCCTTCCATCATCCGTTCCTCGCTTCCTCCGTCACGACTCCAGACGGCCGCCCCTCTGAATCTCCCTCTCGACCAGCGCCTTCACCTCCCGGCTCGTCCCCTGCGTGAGCGGGTACTCCATGATGAACGTCCGGGTCCTCTGCTGCCGCAACTGCATGACGCGCTGGGCGTATTCGCCAACGATGCCGCTGTCGACGTTACCGTCCCAGGCGGTTTCGTCGGTGCCGTGCTGGGCGCAGAAGTCGCGCAGCCGGAGCATGCCCTGCCCGGCGAGCCAGCGCTGGTTGCGATCGTCGTCGTATGGTTCCTCGCTTTGGGGGCCACGGTTGGGCGCTGTGTCGCTCGTAATCATAGCGTCATCGCCACTATCGATAGATTGTTCGGATTCGGGCTCGGATTCGACGGTAGGGCCTACAGTGTTATTCGTGTTTTCCAGTCCTGGTGCAGGCGCTGCATCGGGTGCATCTCGTCCTTGGAGGATTTCCGGCACTCGCCGGCCCCGTTCAGCGATCAGTCCTTCTGGGATGCCGAGCTCGGCGGCTCGAGCGTTGATGGCGTCGGCGTCGGTGTCGGTGTCTGTCTGATCGGGCATGCGGCCGGACGGGATCCATGGGATGAAACGGCGGAAAAATCCCTGCAATCCTTGCAACTCTGGGGCTTCGCCTAGACCTCGTTGGTTATCCTCTAAAGATTGGCGATTGGGTGTGCCCTCTTCTGGAGGGGTGTCGAACCCACCGGCTGCCTCAAAAGGGGATTGATTCGCCGCCCCTTGGAGGTGTGTTGGCGGGGCGGGATCATAGGATGGGACATTATTGGGTGGTGGGAGAGGATCTGAAGACGAGGTGGGCATGTTGGTGTATCCGCGGGGAATGAGATTTATGAGGGCTGGAACCCCCGAAAGGAGGACATGGCGGGCTTCGTCGAGAGTAATGGGTCCATGAGACAGCGGTATGGTCTCCCTCCGAGCCTTTTCTCGTGTGGGAGCGACCTCTGCTGACTCGACGACTTCGACCAGGAAGGATGTCGCTTCCGGGGTGTTCCATAGATCTTTGGCGTTGTGGACGTACAGCTCGCATTCGAACTTTTCTCGGTCCGTGGATGGGGTCTTTCCCCATACTGACTTGGGAATATGGTCGATGCTGAGTTCTTTGAATAGGCGGGGGAATACCCAAGGATAATCCTCGACGCAAGTTTTGAGAGATGACCGGCATTTCTGTACCTGTTTGAGCTTGAACTCTGCAAGAGCTGAAGAAATATCGATATTTGGGCGGCTTCGCCAGAGATCATCGGCGTAGAACGGACTCCTGCTTAGTTGCAGGAGATGCTCTGACTGACCTCCACGGAGGGCTAGTTGGTCCAAAAAGAGACAGATGCGATAAGGATCCCCTTCAGGATCAAGGCTAAGTACCAACTTTGCCCACTCGTAGGCTGTTCGCCAGGTGCCTCTCTGGCCTAGATTGTTGACATAGCGCCACGCCGAGAGCCAGAATTCACGGTTCTCTGGCCGTCTGAAGTCAAGTCGTGCTTTACCTTCCCCAAGAGCTGCTGTGAATGACGAGTGTACTGATCGTCCAAAGCTGAACAATGCGCGCTCGAGTAGGTCGCCCGAGACGGAGTGGTCGCCTTGTTGCTTTGCAATTTCGGAAACCTGGAGTAGCGTGGAGATGTGGTATGCTGCTTCCGATATCAGTACAAGTACCCCAGCGGCACGAGTGGGGAATGGTCTTACGGTTATATTGAAGCAATGCAATCATGCGTTGTGGATCCATGGATTCTACACATGTTTGAAATTGCCTCTGCACGTCTTGGTAAATCGTGTTGTGCACAAAGCGAAACTCAACAGTACCATCCTCCAATTTCTCGACCAGCTCCATGCCGAGCCCTCCGCTCGTAGCTTTGGGCCATTCCTCTTTGCCCAGGATGAAAGGATTCCTTCGAAGTGCCAGACCTGCCAAACCTTGGCCACGCGAAGCTGGACTATGGCGCCCAGCCAGTGCACCACCGAGGTCTAGATTTTGAATCCTGCCTCGCCGTCTGGGAGGGCCGGCCGCGGCGCCAGCTTCATCCTCGTTTTCCAGCACCACGTTCCCAAAGAGGCGCTTCATTTCGTTCAGAGCGTTTAAATGCTTCGACTCAACCGCAAGTAGTCGATACAGTTGTACATTAGCTTCATCGATCTTAGATGCCAGTGGAACCTCTGCTCCATCCTTGGATGTTGTCGACAAAGACTTTAGAGCAATGTCAATCTCATCCAGTTGCGGTTCTTTAGCGCCAGCCAGAGCAGTTTTGGCCGGAGGATCAGCTTGCTCGGGTACTTTGCTCTTTTTCTTGTTTTTCTTCTTCTTCGACTTGCTCTTCGTTTTTGGCTTTTCGGACGATTCGACTTGAGGATTCTTTGTCGACACCTCAGCGTCCTCTCTATCATTAGGGTCTACGACGTCGGAGTCATTCATTTCATCTCCATCTTCATATTGGTTTAGCATATCAAATGCATTGAGAATCTTCCCCGCGGGCGTCTCTTCTTCTGACTCATCATCCGGTGCATGGTCTTCTTTCAAAGCATTCCGCTGAATTTGCTGTTCCTGCTCTCTCTGTAGTTTTCGGACAGCTCTGGAGGACATGTTGATTATGGGCGGCCAATAGCCTCAATTTTGTGCACAATAAAATGAATACCCTAGCCTTCGAAGTCCAATGTCACGGGAGTGGTACTGGTATTGGTGCAGCTTTAATAGTAAATGAATTTGGGAGATGAGAAGTCGGCGAGTCCAAACCAAAGATATATGTCCAGTGCCAGAAAATGAGACAACCAAGGTGTCAAATATGTCTAAGTTGTCAGATCTATGCAGTGTTCTTAAGTATTCATTGAATGCCATGACGCGGAGGGCAAAGCCTTTATTTCCATAGGGCTGAAGTGGATCTGCCTCAACGCTTGCCGCCAACCCCTGTCATTGTCACAAGATCCGCCAACAGCAACGCTTTCATTTCATCTCTCACTTTCACTGTACCTTCCTTCCTAACATCCCTGGGAGGAGAAAATCCTCAAGTTCTCCTCGCCCTGCCCTCAGGCATATCTCAATGCGTCGAGCAGCAGTCCAAGCGTTCCGCACTGCTCGACGGACTCCTCTCCGGAAAGTCGTCACTACCAGAGCTTTCCCCAGGCCTCCAGTGACCCATATCGTCGGCCTACGCCCAGTCACTACCCTTATCAGAAGAGATGCTCCGACCCAGATCATAAGGTCATCCATGTACTTTCGTACATTCTCAGTCGCTGCTCTGGTATCTGTGCTGGCTTCCGGCGTTTACTACTACCAGCGGGATCCAGAAACTAGGGCGTTGGTCAATGGGACAAGCGTCATAACTTCTGGCTCAGGCCGTTCAGCACCTCAGTATTCAACACTAGCCTCTGCCTCAGGCTCTCTCCCTACCCAAACCCAGTCAATATCAAACGGTCTCGTTGCAGAGCCAGGAGCCGAGTCTAAGAGAAGGGCACTGCTCGTTCAAGACAACGAATTCTACGTAGACGAACTAGCTCACGACGCTCCTTTAACGAAGCAAGCTGAAGACGAAGGTCACAACCGGATGGAGAAGATAACGCCGGAACAGGCAACGCAAAAGCTTCGCAAGAACGAGGAGTCATATCTGGTCGGCAGGGGAAGAGGCGTTGTCCGCTACGATGTGGTCCAGATACCAAGTAACAACCCTATCGAGGATGACCACGCCGAGAAGATTGTTGAAGTGCCCCAGTCAGTTACTCCTCCACCTGCCGGGTCGGCCAGCAGCGACTGGATGTTCTGGGGCGTCTTTGACGGTCACGCTGGTTGGACCACATCCGCAAAACTTCGCCAAGTCCTCATCTCCTACGTTGCGCGTGAACTCAATAACACTTACAAATCCGCCTTCACCGATCCCTCTTTGACCGTTCCCACCCCGCAGTCCATAGACACAGCAATCAAACGTGGCTTCCTCGCACTAGATCACGAAATAGTCCATGCTTCCGTGAGTAAGATTACCACCAACACAAAGCAAAAAGCCGCAGCAGCAGAGATCCTTGCACCAGCACTTTCTGGCGCTTGTGCTCTCCTCTCATTCTACGATAGTTCTTCAAAGCTCTTTCGAGTGGCTTGTACAGGCGATTCACGTGCAGTGCTAGGCCGCAAAAACCCAGCAACTGGAAAGTGGACTGCTACTCCACTCAGTGAAGACCAGACGGGAGGCACTCCCTCTGAGATGACTCGACTGCGCGCTGAGCATCCTGGCGAGGAGAATGTCGTACATAGGGGAAGGATACTAGGCGGCTTAGAACCCAGTCGGGCGTTTGGCGATGCGGGCTATAAATGGAGCAGGGAAGTCCAAAACCGGATGAAGAAGTTTTTCTTTGGAAAGACTCCGTCGCCGCTGTTGAAAACCCCGCCGTATGTTACCGCTGAGCCTATCATCACGACCACGAAGGTAGATCCTGGGCAGGGAGACTTCGTTGTTCTGGCTACGGATGGGTTGTGGGAAATGCTCACGAATGAGGAAGTTGTTGGATTGGTTGGGCAGTGGCTCGAAAATCAATCGTCGAGCAGTGGAAGTAACGCCACGTCATGGGCAAAGTCATTCTTCAGCAGCCAAAGCACAAAGTTGCCAGTTGAGAAGCCTGTCTCAGCGCCCACGGAGGGTGGTGAAGGCCAACGGGCTCCTCTGCGGCAGACGCAATGGGATGTGAAGACTACTGATGAGAGGTTCGTGGTCGAGGATAAAAACGTGGCGACGCATTTGGTTAGGAATGCGTTGGGTGGTAGAGATAGGGATATGGTTTGTGGGCTGTTGACGCTTGTGAGTCCGTATGCAAGGCGATACAGGTACGTTCTTCTTTCCAGATAGTTGGGTGAGGTCTGACTGACCCGCCTTCCAGGGACGATCTCACAGTCGAAGTCATTTTCTTCGGCGAAGCAGACAAGAGCGGAGATGTGGTACTCAACGCTGAAGCCAGCGCGCCCAGCTTAGGTGCGAAGGCAAAGTTATGATCACGACTCTGCTACGTTTAGCTGCATTTACAAGAAAAGCGTTTGGCGGTGATCTTCGTTTGCGAGCGTTAGGGATACCCAGTGCTAGCAGCATTGTTGGAGCCGTTTTGTCCATTTAGGATTAGGAATGTCTACACGTGATCCATTTGTGCGTTCCATCCGCTTTCATGTGTTTAAAATACCTTCGCAACGTCTACACCACAGCCCAATCTTATGGAATCCCGCAATCCACCGTGAAAACATCCGAAAGCTAGTCATGACCTGATCTCTCCGACCCTTCTCCCCCGGCCACACCGCTAGATCTTTCCAAACCCAAGCTTCCTCCCCCGTGAGCCCCAACCTTTCCGACCGGGGACGATCATCCCAGGCTTCCCGGCGAAAAATCGTCCCGAAGGCTCCGTGCCCGGAGTGTCCATTGCTGGTCTCCCAAAAGCACGGGTGCTGGATGGGGCTTTTTCGAAACGTCCTCCCGGCCTAGGGCGGGGGGGGGGGTAATTTCGAGGTTGGATGCTGGAGCACGCTCCTTCTGCGGCTGGCAATGGGTTCGAGACCGAGGGTGATTGGAAAGACGGCATGGCTTTCATGATGCTGGTCTCATCTCTTGCTCCCACTTGGGCCGGCTCGTCAGTCATAGCACGCTCGCTTCGAGAGAATTCCGTACTCGCGTATCGCGAACCCTCAGCCCTACCGCGTCACTTTCCATTCTTCTTCGTCGTCGGACTCCTCAGCTCCTTCATCGTCGGACAGCGATATCCCCGCACCTGCGGCTTGGCCTCGGCGGGCGCGTCGTCCGCGCCCGGCTCGCCCTTCTTGCCGGGCGACCGTGTCGCGCGGAAGGATCGGATCCGGGGGAGAGAAGCCGCGACGATGGCGGCCAGGCCGCCGGAGACCCAGTAGAGGAGCATGGCGCTGGGGAACAGGAGCGTGGCGGGCGCGAGCGCGAGGGCTCCGATCTTCAAGGTCTTCTGTTTCCGTAGATTCCAAGCGCGGGCCTTCCTGGCGGTTTCGGGCGACGAGCCCGGCATTGCGAGGAGACCGACGGTGTCGTTGGGAGACGAGATCGTTGCGAACATGATGGCGGATAGGGCGAGGGGCAAGATGAGCAAAGGATCGGGCATCGCGAGGTCGGGGAACCATAACATCCCCTCGGTGGCTAGGGATGGTCCCATGGGTACCGATTCGTCCACTGTGCCTGCGCCAGGGTTCTGCTGCCCTTTGAGCGCTATCAGAGACTTGGCGGCCAAGTTCAGCATTCCCTCCTCCGTCCCCGTCATCCGTCGGATCGTCTCCATCATCGTGAACCAGATTGGGAATTTGAGGAGCGCGAGATGGATTCTCCAAGACTGTGCTCGGTTCCGCTTGAGCAATTGTCTCCGTTCGAGAACGATGGCTCTGTCTTGGATCCGTTTCCTTTCCAGCGCGCTTTTGTCTCCGTGCTTCTGCCTGATCGCCTTCTCCATGGCGATTTTGGCCTCTGCTAATTGAGGGTACAGTGTCCACTGCTTCTCGTAGATCCGGCCGGAGTGTGTGAATAAGGGTTGCAGGATGACCATTCTGACTAGTCCGGCAACCAGTGGTATTGTTGCTGCCCAGGGAAGTCCGGTCGTGTCATGAATCCCGTTGAGAAGTGTATGAGTCTGCACTAAGCATTCATCGAGGAATGGACGCTGGGGGGTGGCGCTAAATCTTCGAGAATTCAGGGCTGCTGTTTGGCGATATTTGGGTCGGTGACAAGGCTTCATGAGAGCTGTCGGTCTTGATACTACTCGTATCACACTGTGAGGCTTCATTGTGGTGATGAAGGTCTGAAAGCGTTATATAGAGATGGATTGTTTTCCACTTTTTGATCGAAAGGATTGATGTAAGGGCCGAAGCCCGCTCCGCTCGGGCCGGAAGACCTAATGCAAGGAGCCAAAAAGGGTACACATAACAAATTGCGCGAATAACGCACTCGGAACGTGGAGAACCCAAAGGTTATATATGACGCTGCCGGCGAACGGGATCCTGATGGCAGTCTGAACCGTACTATCAAAGTAAACATGATACCTTAGCAAGATATCGCACTGAGAGAGCACCCACGTTCGCCGACAATCTTCTACTCGAAGAAGAGTAGCAGTAGCAGTCCACCATCCTCTGCTACTACTACACCTCCTCCTCCGCTTTACCGGCCAAACTTCTTCAACTCCAAGTACCTCAACGGGGGGTATGCAACGCACGTAAAAGCAATTGCTAGCCACGCGCCAATGTCGCCCCCATAACCGCCAATCTTACTCCCGACGGGGCCTTGATACCACACTTGATCCATACCGACAATCGCGCCGGCCCACCCAATAAAGAAAGAAAGCAACGCTGCAACTCCTACAGGAAGCCTCTTTTTATCCTCCCAAGCCGACCAATCAAAAGGCACCCCTCGCAGTGTGTGAAACAATATATGCTCTTCGAACACTATCGTCAACCAGGGGCAGACCCAGTAACTCATAAGGGGCAAGAAGTCTTCGAATATGTTGAACAAATGGTCGCGGCCCGCCACCGCGCAGACGAGTTCGACGACCATGAGGAAGAGACACCAGATCCAACGCGGGATGGCTTTGGGATAACGACCCAAGACCTGGCAGCTCAAGCCTGCGGCGTACGTGGCCGGTGCGTTATTTGCGATGCCGCCAAGGGCGAGGAGCACGGTGCAGAAACCGCCAAAGGCGCCGAGGCCGTCGTAGCAGGCTAGGAGGAGCGCGCCGGATGAGGTGGCGTAGGCGTTGGCCCAACCGGGTGTTGTGGCGACGCCAGTCGCTATAGCAACCCCAATAAGGTTTACAAAGATTAAAGAAGTCCACATGCCAGACCAGGTCATGAAGAAGGTGAGGCGTCGACTTGTGTTAATGGCTGATGATGATTTCGGAGTCAGCATGCCATCTTGAAGAGATAGACTGAAGTCGTAAGACAAGTCTAGGGAGTACGACGAGGGAAAAAAGCCCATTGCATGACACAGGTGGAAATTGTCAAACATATTTTAGGGCAGGACAAGGAGGCAGAAGCCCATCTCGTGACACGCAATGGAGCCGTAAGAACATTCGTTATAGTATCCTAGGAGAAAATCCCCTTTCTCCGCTCTGAAATCATTTTGCATGACACAGATTGAAGTCTCACATAGGAAAGAGCCAATCCGAGATTACGTACGATAATAGACGTAAAAGTCGGCACCGATAGTGCAGAAGCTAATGGCGACAGAGAACTGAAGTGCGAAAAAGGAGCAGCGATTGGCTGTGACTGTGCCGGGCGGACCGATAGATTGCAATGAGGTGTTGAAATTGTGGCCGGCGGAACCGATGAGGACGAGTAGGGCAAATACTTGCGGTATCCAGGCGTATCTGTTCCTCTGTGAGCTTGAGCGCTGCGCTTCTTTTTGGTTTTAATGGAGCGGACCTTTCGTATGTGTGGAGAATGGCGATGCCGAAGGCGGCAACCAAGCCAATGCAAAGAGCGCTGATAGCACAACCGACAGCAATAGTCAGGCCGGCGCCGTTAACAGCTGAAAGCATTTGTCCGGCAATGATGGACGCGATGATACCCCCTGGACACGATTCCGCAGTCAGTATTACCAAGTCGAGGGGTAATTTCGAACATGTCTAGAGAGAAAATTCCCAGCCGTGTGTCCAGACTCAATATTTAGTGCAAAACATGAAACCCGTGAAATACTTACAGCCCACTTGAAGTATTACGTTGAGAATGCAGGCGAGTTTGGACGGCCAGTATCCCATAAAGTATCGACCGAGTATCTATCAAGTCAGCAAGGATCACACCGAGTTGGCAAAGTGTGTGCCCAATTGATAAATCAAGGCCAGGTATAGTCTAAGCCGGCAGTATGCACGCACGCGCAACATACCATTGTTCGATTTCCGCTTTGAGGACCGAATGTACCCGTATATGCTGCTCCGCAAGCGGAGAGAGCATTGGCGAAGAGGACCAAGCAGACACAATCAACCCATCCGAGGTTAAAGACCAGTGGGCCGAGAAAACCAACAGCGAGGTTGTTCACCACGACGTTGATGCTGAACCACAAAGTGAACATCTGAAGATATCCCATTGCCGCCCCATCGTGCTTCTCTTCCGGAAGCACTCTCGTGATGCCGCGGGCCTCTAGATTATGGTTTCGAGGTCAGTATTGCCTGACTAGGGAGACATACTGAGTTTTGCAACATGTCCAGAGAGTAGTGCTCCCACAGCATTCCGTAAGCCTCAAGATCTGGCCCCAAAGAGTGAAGATGGACTCCAAAGATACGTACCTAGACCAGCAAAGCTTTCGACTTTGGCGTTCCATCTCGCGAGCCTACCTCTGAGGAGGACGGGAGTGGGAGCGATATCAGGATGAGAAGAGATTTGAGAGTTTTCGAGGGTATTATCGGCTGAGTCGCTGCCGGAGAGGATGATATTGACTGAAGAATCTTTGAATTCGCCTCGTTTCTCGAGGTCATTTTCGGGTATCTGGTGAGCGGCAGGGTGCCTGAGAGGATTCATGCTGAAGGAAGGAAATGGAGAGTATCTCTCACAACTCAAAAGGAGTCAATTCGAGTGTTAAACTGGGGAGGATGGAAAGAAAACAAAAGAGTTTAATGACTGATGTTAAAAAAGACAAGGTAAGGCAGACACTGGACAGGGATAGTGCGAATGAGAGAGGATATTTAGAGCACGCAGAGCAATTGTACTCGCGGATTATGCATCCAACGGCCATCGATATCATACCAGTCACTTAAGGAAGGTTGAAAGCTAAAGGCTGATGCAGCATGAGCAGGTGCTCGTACTAGTAAGAGTACTAGCCGTCTGCACGTTGAAATCTAATCATGCCAGCCATCTCGCGGCACGTGGGGTAGAATGGAGAATAGAAATGGGATGATTAGTCTTGTCCTGTATGTTCCCCAACACGTTATCGCGTAATAATGAATGGTCCATGTAGCAAAGGAGCACCGATGCCTTGAGAAAAAGCGGTGGTTAGAAGTCGCAGGACAGCTCAAGCTACAGAGATTCTTTAAATCCTTCGACGGAGGGTTGGTGACAAAAGTCGTTGCACACCGATCCCCGCTAAGCCCTACCAAAGTGTGCAACGACTTTTGTCACCAACCCCTCGGACGCCGCTAAGGCTTTAGTGTATGCTTCTAATCAGTAAATAAGACGACGGACGCTCAATTGAAAAAGTAAGACACGGTTCTTTTTTTCATTCAATTACCGCACAGAATTCCCAAGTTTTCCAGCCGCTCCTCGGGAAAAACAATGCGAATATCTTACGTCGAGCGGGGAAGAAAAAGGTAACGATATTTATGTAGAAGCCAAGTGGGTGAATGAAAGGACCAAGGGTCGAACAATCCATGGTGTAGGCTTGCCAAGTGGATTCTGAAAGTCCCACATCAAAAGACCGAAAGAGGCCTAAACTGAAAGTCGTTGTTTTACTCTATAAGACTATAGTTTCTCCGGTTGCGACAACTAATTAAGTATTTTTAACATTTTCTATATACGCTAATAGCCTCGGCGTTTTTCGGATAGACTCTCTCCTAAACGCTCCCCCGTGTTCCCTCGGCGCTCCCTTGCTGAGCCCGACTGCTCCCTTTCCCGATGATCCTAAGTTTGGGGTATATATATAGGCAGCTGCTACGCGTATAGCCCCTATCTACTAGGCGTACAGCCCTCCCTTTATATTAGACACACGTAGTCTTAAGAGCTTTAAAGCTAATAATCTTACTATCTATAGAACGATTATGAGTAAATAAAATCCTCCCTCTTTTCGGGGAACCCCTTCTATATACACTTACTTCTTCGCTTTTACGATGCGCTGAAATTTAAATAGACTAGCCCTACTGGGGGCTAACTGCTAAATCCCGAAGATATAATTTAGGCGTGAAGGGTATATATGCTTATTGATCAGGGGCTGTACGCGTAGCAGCTGCGTATATATATGTGGCTCGCTGAAATCGTTCAGCACGTGGCAGAATAGTCCATTCTCCTATTTGCGAAAGCGGTCCGCCGCATTGCACTGGGTAAAGTCGTCCGATTTAGAGTGGAGCTCGGCATCTCTGTGGACGGGATCTGCTCATTTGAAGCCAAGGTTCGGGTCTGCCCCCTCCCCATCCTTGAACAGGTCGATGTAATCCGTTAAGCCATCTACGAGCTTCCGAAAATTCAATCGTGTACTCCACCTCACATTTCTTGTGAAGGCTGATTCGTTATAATCGGCTCCGTGATCGGAGATGTCGCTGAAGCTCGACTTGTAACCGACAGGTCGATGATGTTGGAATAGTTGCGGTTGAACGGTCAAGCATGTTTGGACTGGCCTTCCCTCCGATCCATGGCACACAGATCGAAACATCATGTCAGTCGGTCCCGTCATTTTGTTCACGCTGAGCTCATACAGTAAGCGCCGAGCACCTGGCAGAGAAATCCCGTAACCCATAGTGCACGTGTTCATCCATGCTCTAGAGACTACGCGAGTGTGAGCAGGGTAAGTCTGAATAAGTTCGGAGTCTCCAAACTGCATCATGACATGCTGCGATTCTGGAACCGTTTCGTCGTCATAGATGACAGCTCGCCCCAGCGGCACATTTCGGTCACTTGCGCGAGGAAACCGGGTGCCGCAGTGGCCTAACCAGAAAAGATCCCAGCGGTCAATGTCTCCGTATGGAGATGTGGAAGGTTCGCTGGTGACATCTTTCCTGATGTCGAAGTCCTGCGGCCTTTGGTCTTCCTTGGGCTGAGGGTGGGTCGGGTCTAGAAACCGGTCTGATGTGCCTGACAATGGCTGGACCAGTAGTCTCGAAGCTTTTGCAAAGTCTCTCATTTGATGTTTGATACGAATGTCCCAATCGGCGTCGTCTTCTAGAATGAGGGCAGATGTGATATTTTGTTCGATCAACCTGATTCAATTCAGTTACTAATTTTGACAGTTCAGTCGGTTATCTGAGGCTATAGGCCTAAGGTAACAGACCACAGGCGCGAACTCTCAGCCAGGTAGCCTCACGTATCAGAAGCCAGTCTGACACCATCAGGACTTTGGTGTTGGTGATGTGACCGGCATATACTTGAGAGTTCAGGGCCGGTAGGGTCGGCTGCGCGAAGACACACTGTATGCATGGCCACTCATAATATGGCCAACTACATGGCCTGAGACGGCGCGCTTGCAGTCTGGATGAAATGAAAGGGGAGCAGAGAGCGAACACTCACATTCTAGCGATGTTCATATGAGCTCGCCAATTTCCTAAACCCCCTGAGTCGAGTTTCACTTCTTTGCCACCTGGCGGAAGAGATATCTTGTCCACCCCAGTTACGCCATCTACATAGTCGATTCGCAAGTCTGTGAGGGCAGCGGCTAGCGACATCGAGTCTCGATGGTCGGTTCGAGATGGAAGATTGATGACGAAGATCTTCTGAAACTGTATAGACGTCAGAGGTATACGGGATGGCGCGAGCCAGCAACTGCGGAATACATATTGGTCGTACTGACCCCAAGAGTCTGATTGAATACATGTTGAAGTGAATCCCCACCAGACGAGAAAGGACCAATTGCCGATCGGTGGAAGGGCGACGGAGAGGTTGGGCTGAATCTCCAGAAGAGGAGGATGGCCCCAAGCAAAGCGACAGAGATAGTCAGGAAGAGCCGTATGTTAAGGTAGTGTACAGACATTTGCGGTATAATTGACAATGTGAATGCTGGAAATCACAGTCCACCTTTTGACGGACGCGGCGAGGTACAGTAAGAGAGAAAAATTGTTCAAGCTATGGCCTCATTAATTGCGGGGCAAGGAAAGTCTCCAAAGATTAATCCGCGCGCTCTCAGAAAACACTTCTACTGTCCTTCACGAGGTTTAGGGCTGCTACTAGCGCTGTATACTCTAGGTCGCTTTTCATTCGTGCGATTATTGACCATTTTGTACGTCAATCCCAAAAATATATCTTTTAGATAAGGGGGCGTACAGAGGTACACCAGAAAGCAAAGCTGGAGGAACTCCAGGAATAACACATATGCAGTCCCAATTCCATAGGCCGTCTCTAGCGCACCTCGAGTATTACTTGCTCCGCAAAAGTGGGTCCACGATCATCGTTCAACAGCCTGTTCTGAGTAGGCGGCTCAGCTCATGCAATGCAGAGCTGCTCCTATCTAAGAATCCTTCAGTGCGGTGCAGGGTTGAAAGGGTGTGAGGTATTTGTCGTCACGCAATAGGTATTCTCTTCATCGGCCACTTTAATGCAACAATGAAATACAACACCCATGGCAGTATCCTGTCTCCGCTTTGGTAGTTGCGGGTCAGACTACATCAATTTGACAAATGGCAAAGTTCAAGGAGGCTCGGGCACAGGCGCGGCGTACGACTAATGAACCTGAATGGCGGCGGCAGCGATCCCTCATAGTCTGATAGGCCTCCTTGCTTCCTCTCTGGCAGAAACCAGAAACTGTTGCTGAAACCAGTGTGCATATTGATAGTGCCTCTCCCTCCGCTGCGGTTGCCGTGTTTGCACTGTTACCTGACCGGCTGCGCACCCTGAATGCGACGGGGCGCCAACGATGAACGCAACACTGCCATGGCATTCGAACGGCGCTCAGCCATTTTGCATATACCGTACCCCGCTTCCTCGTGCTCACTAACTTCTTGGACACTCAGGTTGTATTCGTCCCTACCTTGTGCAAATCGCAGCGCTGTCTCGCTAGCATTTGCGGATCGCTCTTTATACCTAGATGACCGCCATGTGGTTGGCATCTCTGTGTGCCATTGTCCTCAGCTTTGCACGCGTCAATGTCGGGGACAACTCCTACAACAACTCCTACAATCTGTTCATTCTCCCCACTGCACCCGGGCCAAGCAACAATTATGTTGCAGACTTATCCTGGACACTTGGATCTACTCAGAAGATCCAATGGTCCACAACCGTCAACTCATATTATATTGCCTTGTTCCAGCAAGGCTTTCACCCGGCTTCTGGGCTACCGCTTCAGACGATTTACAGTACGTGAGTTGGAGAACATCCCAACGCTCGCGTTTGCTAATGTTGCGTCCAGGCGTCGAAAGCGGTGGGACTGGGCAGCAATCTTTCGACTGGCAGGTCCAGATTTACAATTCGAACCTAAGCCTCTCGCCTGTCTACTTCCTATGGCTCAACCCGGGTCCACAAGGGTTCAGCTCTCACTATTTCAACATCACCAACCAGGCTCAAAGCTCGTCAAGCTCAAGTTCGTCGACCGCCTTTACATCATCGACTTCCTTGACAACCAGCATGATCGCAAGTTCATCTTCGAGTACGCCTCCCCAAAGGAGCTCAGATACTGCCTTTGCGTCTCCTTCCAATGCCAGCTCTAGCACAGAGACCGTCAAAGTTGGCCTCGGCGTGGGAGTGGGAATCGGTATCCCTTTGGTTCTCATCGCAGGAATATGGATCGGCCTAAAGTCGGTCAAGCAAAGACAATCTTCTTCACGCGGTATGAGTTCTGGTGTGCCACTATCCCAGTTTCCCGACATGGAAAATCCTCCCAATTCATACCCTCCTCCGAATGAATCAAATTACTACGCAGATCAAATCCACGAAGCTCCTGGAAGAAGTCATCAGTGTCATGAACTGCCCGGGGAAACAGCACTAATCGAGCTCGGCTCAAGACAATTTTGACCCTCGTGTGTAGCTTTTGCGAATCCAGACAGATTGAGGCGCTGTGTGACAACGTCTATCAGTGTGGTGTATCGTGCAAGTGAAGAGGAGGGCTCGCCAGAAGCACAGGCTAAGTGTTTGGTCCTCATGCCAAGTTCGAAAATCTTCAGTCAAAGTACTTCATCGAGGCAGCCGGCCAAGAATACAATCCATCTTCGATCGAGTCACCCCTAATGAAGCGTCTCCTAATCAAACGCATCCTCACCCCCCACCCCGCCGGCGGTATCTCAGTCAATTTCGCAACCCTCTTAGCCAGCAAGAGTATCCATGTAATCGGCTCCATGACACGCGGCACGCACTTCTACACCAACTCGATCGACCGCATCGCCACCCACGCATCTCGCATCGCCGACTCTAGCACCACCTCACCCCCTCGTCGTCCCCTCCACCTCGCTTTCTTCGTAGGCAGCGACCTCTTTCCGCACCTCATGCTCAGCAAGCTCGTCCCGCGCCTTATCGCCCGAGGCCACACCCCTTTTATCTTTCTCTCTGCGGATAAAGTGAACAACAAAGCGGCGTCTCCCGACTTACGCGAACTCGGATTCTTTGAAAGGCAGCTCCTGCAAGACCAGATCATTCCATTTCTCGGATCCGCACCCTCGGACGGAGCTGCATGCCTAACTGTGGATCAGATCAGAGCGCAATACGGAATATTGGTACAACGAGTGAAGAGCGTAAACGGTCCACTCTTTCTAGACGTTCTCAGGAAACACCACATCGACGCAGGTTTCTCCCTGTGCTGCCACCAACGCTTCGGCAAGGATATCATCAATCACTTTGCCGCTCCTCGCGCGCTGCTGAATCTCCATCCAGGCACGTATCGAGGTGTAATGACCGCTATCCGCGCGATGACCAACAAGGAACCCAGCTTCGGCTACAGCCTTCACCATGTAAGCTCTTCATACAACTCAGGCCCGGTCCTCGACATACGCACCGCTCCAATCGACTACGCGAAATCCATGTTGCATTACATGAACGATGTGTACCCGATTGGGGTGGAGATGGTGTTGGATGCTGTTGGTAATCTCGCAAGGGGCAAGAATATGCCTGCCATCGAGCAAGATGAAGCCAAGAGTCGATACTACACCTTTCCAACGGAGGAGAAGCTTGAGCTGGTACGCGAGAGAGGTGTGAGGCTTGTTGATGCGGGGGCGATGGAGGAGGTGCTTGTGGGGAGTTTTGCGGGAAGTGAGGGGAGAGATGCGCTGAGGGTTGTGGTGAGGGAGGCTGTGAGGAAGTGGTATGGGGATGAGAGTGCGAGTCTTTCAGGGTTGCGTAGATAGCGGAGACATCTTCTATAGGGGACAGTAACAGTTAGTGACCTCTCTACAAACATAGTCATCTAAGAGGAAACTCCGATGTAATTCAGAGGATACTGGCTGATGTTCTGTCTTTGGGAGGAACTAAGGTACCTTGGGGGCACCACTAAGGTACCTTAGAGTTGACGGAAAAACGGGCCGGGGCCGCTCCCGCAGCGAGATGACATGCTGACCAGTCCAATAACAGAAGAAGATTTAAAGGCCAACATCATCTTCCATGACGTTTCCCCTTTTCGAAACAGAACTGACGCGTTTAGATCATATGGTCCCTTTGCCTGAGCAATATGTGATACATTCCGCATCGATGACTGCAAAAGCTACAGTCTGACAAAGGATATTCGCTTCACCATGGGCCTGCTGAACTCTGCAGGAGTCGTGCCTCTACTCATTGTCGCTTTGTACTTCAGCACGTGGCTCTTCCGTCTTGCTGGAAGAGCAGCTGGGTGGTATCTGATACGAAGAACGAAGGCACGCAGGAGAACCACCCTAGCCAAGGCCAAGAGTGAAGAGGAGGACCACCATGAGAAAGAGCGCGTCTCGGTAAAATCGGAAGACCCAGACTGGGTGGAAGTCGAGAGTCAGCCTGGTGGATCAGCCACAAATGGTGGACAGGCACCAGAAGACTGGGATGGAATTGTCGGCTTCCTCCACCCATTCTGCAATGCTGGAGGCGGAGGTGAACGGGTCCTCTGGGCAGCCATTAAAGCTACGCAGAAACGCTGGCCGAACGCCGTCTGCGTCGTCTATACTGGGGATCATGACGCAACGAAATCTACCATCCTTAACAGAGTAGAGAACCGCTTCAACATTCGCCTTCATCCTCCTACGGTCGTCTTTCTCTACCTGCAGACTCGCTCATGGGTTCTCAGCAGCACCTGGCCTCATTTCACCCTCCTCGGTCAAAGCCTCGGCTCTCTCATTATGGGCTATGATGCGTTCTCTCTCGTCGTTCCTGACATCTTCATTGACACAATGGGCTACTCCTTCACACTCGCATTGAGCAAGTTTTTCTTCCCAAACATACCAACAGGAGCCTACGTACACTATCCAACGATTTCTACAGACATGCTCAGCTCTCTCAACGCCGAGATAGGAAAAGGAGTCAACGCGGGCACAGGGAAGGGCATCAGAGGCTTTGGCAAGCGCAAGTATTGGCAGGCTTACGCCCATCTCTACAGCAGATCCGGCAGTGACGTGGACATTGTTATGACTAATTCTTCATGGACGCAAGCCCACATTAAATCGTTATGGGGACCATATCGTACAAAGCGCCGAAAGGTCCATGCAGTCGAAGTTCTCTTCCCCCCTGTCGCCGTAGAAGAGCTAGAAGAAGCCATTGAACTTGAAGGGCCCAAAGCCGTTTCGAGGCAGAAATCACTGCTTTATGTCGCCCAGTTCCGACCCGAAAAGAATCACGACCTCATCCTCCGTTCGTTCTCAAAGATGCTCCATTCACCCACAAAGCCAGGGATGAACGGCGCAAAGCTGGTCCTCATTGGTTCCGTGCGAGACAGTGACGATGCCAAGAGGGTCTACCAGCTTCGCTTGCTCGCACACGAGCTGAAGATTGAGGACGACACCCAGTTCGTCTGTGACGCATCATGGCCCGAAGTCCTCGACTGGCTACGGAAAAGCTGGGTGGGAGTCAACGGAATGTGGAACGAACATTTCGGTATCGGTGTCGTGGAGTATCAAGCAGCGGGACTGATCTGCGTGGTCAATGACAGTGGAGGGCCTAAGGCCGACATCGTCGTTGACTTTGACGGGGGAGCTACCGGTAAATCAAGTCGTCTATCATCTGGATGAGCCCGTCTTTGCTAACCTTTGCGGCAGGCTACCACGCAAGTACAGAGTCCGAGTACGCACATTGCTTCGCGGAAGCGCTTTCGATGTCGGAAGAAGCGACGTCGGCCATGCGAAAGCGGGCTCGAGCCTCGAGCAAGCGCTTCACAGAGGAGGTGTTTGCGGCGAAGTGGGTGGAGCAGTTGGGGAAACTCACGGAAATACAGCGCTTGGCATCCAGATAGATTATAGATACCCCACAGACGTTCGGTTCGGTTCGGCTCAGCACAGTACCCCCGAAGCTTCATCCGCTCACGTCGTGACCCCTTCGATGTCCGGCACGGCCTCTTCCCATTTCCCCCCATTGATGCCATGTCTCCAGACCATATACCCCACCACCCCGGCCGAACTTCCCATCCCCAACCCCCCCACCGCCATCCTCCACGACAGACCCCTCGCCCCCGCCCTCCCCGCCAGCAGCCCCAACCCGCCCAGCGCCGTGCCCACCAGCCCCCAATCGTCGACCTCCACCTGCCCCCTATTCTCCAACAACCTCCACGCCCGATCCCTCCACTCGATGTCCTCCCGCCCCCACATCCGGACCGGCAACGTCACGGCCAGCGCCCCCACTCCCCAGGCGCCGCCGGTGCCGGCCGCGCGGAGCAACGTGGGCAGGAGGGGCGTCGGCGCCGCGAGGGATGTCTTTGGGAAGATGAAGGGGAGGGCGTGAGAGCGCGCCGCTGCCACGACGGGGCCGACGATGGCGCCGGTTTGGAAACCGCGGTAGAGGACGTGCGTGGTCAGGATGGCGGTGGAGTGGGGTTGGTCGTCGGCGTAGGGGGTGTGGGGCCAGAATTGCGACATTTTTGCTGGGTTTGGTTACGAGTAGGTGGGATCCGGGAGGGGGGTTGAAGGCAGTAGTAGGATCTTGTATTTGTGATTTCGAGGGATTGGAATTCTTTTTGGTGGCCAGGCGAAGAGGGTGATACCGTACTTTATGTCATTGCGAGCGGCGGCCTGGTTAAATACTTCGGTTCAAACACGGGCTGTTTTGGGTGAAGCGTAGCGGAGTCGGGGAAATGAAATGAAATGGAGGCATCGGAGGTGCCCCGCTCCGGACTTTTGCTCAGTCCGCGCTACGGAGCTGCCAGCAAGCGGCACAGTCACAGAGCGACGTGCTTTTCCCCGATCGTGGAAAATTGGCCGACTGCGCGTTTGGAAGGCTGGCTTGGTTGGATTGAGAACAAATGCCTGAGAGTGCGGGATATTTTTCCGCTGATTATTTGTGCTCCAAGGCGAACGATCAGAGGTAAAGCGTTAGGTAAGCTAGCTTCGATGTTGCTTGTCTGCTTATACAATCACACAATCACCGTGGGATGAATGGGAGTATCTTCGTCATCCGACAGGCTGTCACGGTTTCAACCACCTTACTTGTGTTATGGCCTAATTAGGCTTAGCGTGCCAAGGCCTTTCGGCCTTTCTACCCTGCTGTGAAACCCATAGTATTCTCTTCACACTACAATAAAGAGTTATCACACACACCATTGAGTCCCTGACACAGGCAAAGGATAGATTTGTGCCTGTATAAAGCGCTCGTCTGCTTTGATCCCCAATAGTTCTTACCCAACCCTCGTGGTCCTGAATCATTCTTATCACTATTCCGCGGGCATTCGGGCATCATGTCGACCCACATCCAAGACTCGCACGCATTTCATGGCATCAGCCTTCATGTTAACATCACTGTCGCTCCTGAGAACGTCGACAAGTTCCTCGCCGCCTTTAAGATCTGCTTCGATGCTGTGACTGCGGAGCCAGAATGTACCTTCTTCGAGGTCTTCCATGATGCGGACAATCCCGGGCACTTTCGGTTTGTGGAAAATTGGAGTAAGAATGAGGAGTGGTTCAGGAAGGTAAAGTTCCGCAGCCAAAAGTTCGATTGCTCTGAGATTGCCCAGTGCGTGCTGTAGAAAGAATCCAAGAGATCGGTCTGCTAACAGACCTGCGTGCTGAATAGGAACAATTGACAAAGGCGTATTATAAACCATACGTGGAAGCGACAGAGCCTTTGTGGATCAAACCCAGGGAGTTGAAATTCTTCAACAGGATGCCTGCTGGGTGGATGAAGGCCAAGCCGGAGAATATGAAAGCAGGATGGATGTAGCATTGTATAAGGACTGGAATATGCAAGGAGAAAAGCCCAACAAGAACCAACTTAAAATCGAGTAGTCCGTTCGTGATGGACGCGGTTGGTTGAGTGATTTTCGACTGCATGTGAAGGGGCAAGTCCAAACATGGATACATTTGACCTGGAATCGTACCTAACATTATGATTCAGATCAGGGTTTTGAAACTCAAAAGACTTTTCAAAACGTTGATGTCTTCAAGCAGTATCTTGAACAAATTGGTCTTCGACCTGATCATGCCCGATATCATGATCCATATCACGATTTGAAAGTCAAGATCCATTCCATTTGCTGGTCTCTTCAAGCAGCATCTTGAACCTATCCAGGTATTTCGCCCAATCTTTCGGATTTGCTGAGGCCCATTCCCGTGTTTTTGGAGCACATGAAAGATCGCCGACCATGTGTTTCGCATTTGTCGTGCCATTGAGTATAATAACATTGTCTAAGGCCAGAACCAAACTGTACATAGCCTCATAGGGAGTCAGTCCTACTTTATCGGCCACAAGCCCAACTTCTGGGCCATGAACAATCTTTGGATTGGCTGACAACGTCCAGAAAGATTGATAGACAACGGACTGTTCGGCACAGAAAGCACGGACACTGGCATCAAAGCGTGTGCTAGAGTAGAAACGATTTTGAACTATGGCCGGTTTGAACTCGGCTGCATCGTAGAGCTGCTCGAGTATACCCTGCGAGACATTGGATATTCCCAGGTAGCGGATTTTGTGGGGAACGTAAGTTTCGGCTGCCCGCCAGGCTTCGAGGGTTTGCGCCATTGTGGGCAACGGACTGTGCAGCACCAAACAGTCGAGATATGTAGACTCTGAACTCGACTCTTCCGCTAAGGGGCGCATATTCCTAAGTGATGACCTAATAGAAGCGTGGACTTGTTCTGATATGCTTGCAGTGGGATCGTATGGCATTCTATTGGGATCCTGCCCATTGACCGAGGTGAATTTGGTCTGAATGAAGAGATCATCTCGTGAGATCCTGTCTTCGCTCAATGCTCGACGTATGCCTTGGCCGACAAGATCCTCTCTGTAATGCTTCGGTTGGGCTGCGGTGTCAATGCCTCTAAAACCAGAGCATAATGCCAGATAGACTAGGTCCGCTGTCTTTTCCTTCTTCCACGCAGTGCCATAGAGAAAAGCGGGGACTACTTGTTTACCATGTAGCAACAAGTTATCGAGCAATGCTGAAGGCATGATGCCAATGAGAGATCGAATCACGGGGCTGGTACTGTCGGGTTTGACGAGCAAGTACGACAACAGGCTCTGAATCAGGGAATTTCTGATGTGATCGAGCAGGACACAATGGTAATAAAGGGACCACCTTTTACCAGAGAATTGCCCTCTTCATCACAATTATACCATGTACTCTTCCCATTCATGTACGCACTCGTAGAGGTCCTACCCTTCACTCTAGCTAAACACGGCTGTAGAGTCCATATTTCGAGATTTGTGTTGCGACTGCATCCATTGCAACACCCGTCTTTTCCAGGAGAGCGTTCAATGCTTTCTTCCACGCGGCGGAGCCGCGGCGACAAACCCGAGCCCGAGCCACCCCACCAGCTGCCAACCCACTTTCTTCAACTTCCTGCACAGATTACCCTCAACCTCGTCTCTCTGCAAGCTTCAAAATGGCTTCGTAGGTAGTTGCTTCGCCAAACTTGAGCTCCTGCTAATAGATGCGCACAGTAATATTGTCTTCCTCCCGTTTCGAAGAACACACCCAGTCTCGCTGTCTGCCTCAATACGGCAGTATATCTCGACCAAGTATGATCAGCACCCGGATATGTTCGTACGAGATATGGATGCTATAGACAAACTGCGAGTGGACGCCGTCAACTCACTCGAGGCACATACCAGCGGCATCAGAAAGCTGACAGCTTATGCGGCGCAACTGGTCTGGATGGGGGGAAAGTTTCCTATTGATGTGAGTAGGCTCCAAAAGATAAGAGCCTATGCAGAAATTGAAGGACATTAGGCGAAGAATTGAATCTCTAATACGAGGCTGCTTAGATTGGCGCCGACTTTTCATGGTATCCTGCCCTGGGTTTCAATACTCAAAGACCGAGTACGTTAACCGTTCCACACCCGGATACAAGACATGTGGCTAACTATTTTCTACAGTATCGCAAAATAACCTCCGATTCGAGCTTGTAAACGTCTTATTTAACCTTGCGTCTCTCTATTCCCAGCTCGCCGTGTCCCTAAACCGAAGTACAAGCGACGGGCTCAAGTCAGCATGCAATTACTTTTGTCAAGCCGCAGGGGTGATATCCCACATAAAGACCGTCATCATACCAGACATGCGATCCTCGCCTCCAGAAGACATGGATACCATGACACTGGAGAGTATCCAGCAGCTACTTCTTGCCCAGGCCCAGGAATGCTTCTGGTCCAAAGCCGTAAAGGACGGATTGAAGGACGGTCTAATTGCGAAACTGGCAGCAAAAGTGTCCGACTTCTACGACCAAGCCGCGGAGTACGGGACGAAGTCAGACATCATCAGCACCGAATGGATACATCACATGACGGCGAAGCAGCATCACTTTGCAGCTGCGGCACAATACAGGGCGTCACGAGACTGCTTAGACAAGCAGAATTATGGGGAAGAAGTTGCGCGCCTCAGGGACAGTTTGACCTGCGCCAATGAAGCACTGAAAGAGTCGAGGTGGATTAACAGAATCGTACTCGGAGATCTCAATGGCCTGAAGTCTCGAGTATCGGAAGACCTAAAGAGAGCGGAGAAGGACAACGATGTAATCTACTTGATGCCTGTACCTCCGAAATCAGAACTGAAGACACTTGATCGCGCAGGCATGGCCACTGCAAGGGTGCCACAAGAAGTCTCTGACCCGTCGTCGACTCTCGGCGAAGGCGGTATATACGGTCAACCATTGTTTGCCAAATTAGTACCATACGCCGTCCACATTGCCGCAAGTATTTATGAGGAGCGCAAGAACCGACTTGTCAATGTCTCAATCATTGATGAGTTGGAAGGCTTGACCAACCAGCTTAAAGACCTATTGCAATCTCTGAACCTTCCAGGATCACTTCAAGCACTCGAAAAGCCCTTGGGACTACCACCATCACTGACTACACATGCAGAAGAGATCCGTCAGCAGGATGGCCTTCACCGTCTTCGGCGATCGATGCACGAGACCAGCAAGCTCAAAGCAAATGATACAACCATCTATCAAGAAGGTGTTGATCTTCTGCGATCTGAGGCAGTTGAGGATGACCGTGCGAAGCTCAAGCACGGAACAGACCGGTGGAGCCGTCAACCTTCACAACAAGCTGCCGACAAGTTGTATGCACAGGTTTCTGAGATCGATGGATATCTTAAGTCTGCTGCGAGCAGCGACGAGCTCGTCACAACTAAGCTTAAAGAGTGCGAAAAGGTCCTGAATGTGCTTTCCGGCAGCGATCGGGATATCGAGGAGTATGTGCCCAGTAGTAGGCGGGCAGTGATGCCGCCCAACGTTCAACACGCCGCCGGAGACTTGAGGAACATGTTGAACGAGGTCAGCCGGCTTGAGAGTAGGCGAAAAAGACAAATCGAGAAAATGCGCGACAAAGCCAAGCAGGACGATATAAGTAAGCATTCACCAGAAGTAAGCATGGCATATTGGCTAACGAATGCAGACCAAGTGATTCTAGCAGAGACAGCTCGTCTTGAGCGGGAGTTTCCGATGCAAAAGATTGAGCCTGCTCAATTCGAAAATTTGTTCGAGGAGCGTCTAGAGAGGTATGAGGGAGATCAAAAGTCGATTGCTAAAGAGAAAGAAGAGCAAGATCAGATTTTATCCCAGCTCAGGCAGAGCAATACAGCATTTGCGAACGCGAGAAAAGGCGACACTTCGACCAGGGAGCGGGAGCAAGCGTTACAGAGACTCGAGAATGCGTACGTCAAGTACAAGGAGATCATTTCCAACTTAAACACTGGTCGGAAATTCTACAACGATCTCGCAAAGATCGTAAACAGATTTCGAGACGAGTGCAAGAACTTCGCATACCAGAGACGAATCGAAGCAGGACAGCTCGAATCAGAGCTGTCCAATGCAATGTCCGCCCTCAACCTTTCCCAAGCGACTTCTCTTCAAGAACAGAAGCAACGTGAATCGCTGCGGTCACATTATAGCGCCAAAGGGCTTTCGTCAGAGCCATTGACAGCTCCTACACCCACCAGAGCTGCCGTGCAGCCTCCGACTGCTCCTGCACCAGGAATGTGGAATCCGGAAATGGGAATCAAGTTTGGGGGTGTTACTACACCGCAACAGCCACCGGCGAACGGTACTGTGCATAATCCTGCGTATCCGAATACTAGAGCGAAAGGTGGACAGTGGGACGCAAATCAAGGGTTGCGGTTTGGGTGATGGGCTGTCACCATGTATATATACATACTTCGAAAGGAAGAATCGGCGAATCTTGGAAAAGCACGTTCATGTGGTGATTCTAGGCATCTCAATCGACCTGTCTAATGTGTTGACTTTGTCCCTGAGCATCCCTGCCTCTCCAAACTTCTATTCATAAAGCCACCTTCGTAGCCACGCCGAGCAACCATTTGGCATCACTCCAAACTCCTGCTTGCTCAGGAGCGGAGCCCATAATATTCGTACCCTCACCACCAGTCTCCGCTTCGTCATCCTTCCTTTTCTTCCTCCGCAGTCGCCTTTGCAACTCGACCGGATCCAGCTCCCCCCTCACAATGCCTTCTCCGCCATCATCTTCTTCCCCCGCAGCTCCGGCAGCCTCATCCGCATCCCCTTCCTCCTCCCCTTCACCTCTGAACTCCATCCACCCCACGGCCCAGTCAACCCACCCGCCAACCCTCCCCATAACAACCCTCTTCATCTCCCCCTCGTCGACTTCCTCCCCCTCCTCTTCTCCCTCCTCCGCATTCACAAAATCCGGCCCAACCTCTTCTTCTTCTTCTTCCTCCTCCTCCTCCTCCTCTCCTCTCACCCCGTTTCCTCCCCCAACGCTACCCCTCCTCGACTGAACCCTCGACTGCGCCCTCGACAGCCCTCGCAACTTCGCATTCGATCCCCTCGCCGACTGTACCCGCGACGGACTCCATTCGGGAGAGTGCGCATCATACTCATCATCCCCGACCTCGCCACCCGTCAAGCTCGTGCTCGAACTCCTCGCCGCGAGCCACGCCTGTCCCTTCTCTTCGAGGCGCGTGAGCGTGAGGGCCGACGCCGTGCGCGTGACCCAGTCGTCCGGCGTGTCGTCGGGGTTGCGGACGGTGCGGGTTTTTTTCCGGGCGGGGGCGGGGACGGCGGTCGGGGTGGAGCGGGTGGGGCGGAGGCGGGTTTGGGAGGAGGGGCGGGAGAGGAGGGAGGGGGTTGTTGGGATGGAGGCGGAGGGGTAGAGGTAGGATGGAGAGGCGTGGGGGGAGGTGGGGAGGGTTGTGAGGGGGCCGAGGGTTGGGTGCGAGCGATTGGGTCGCTGGGGAGGAGGGTTAGTGGGTTTCACGGGTTTTGAGGATGAAGTGACTTACATCCATGGTGGTTTGTGTGTGGGAGGGCACCGTTCAAATGTTGAAGGAGGAATGTCGGGAACGACTGGTGGAGTTGATTTTCGGCGCTAGTCAGACGCTTAGGGTTTTGATGTTTACTTCTAACTACATTTTCTGCGAGGAATTCTAGAATGTTATTCAAATGATCGACCTTTCGTCGTTTACATGATTCCCGTCGCAGTCCTATACTATCTTGCCTTTGTTCATCACGAATCCCTCGAGTATCGAAATAGCGGCCCACAATCTTGGATCGACAAAGTCAGCATGTCCTTTCTATACAAGATTTGGGTCATAGGTGCCTACCGATTTTCTGCTTCAGGAAAGACCAAGCCTAGAAAGATAATCAGTCCAAGTAATCATTTCATGGAGCAGCAGCACATACTTCTGGGACTGTAAAAAACTTCATCGGCCACTCTGGTGATTCGCCAAGTCAGCATTCCCTTTTGACATTACCAACGGAGTCAAAAGGATGACTTACTCCTCCGGATGTCGAGGTAAGCAATGCATAAACTTCCAACCTGGCTTTGCACCTCCCCTCTCCGCCAGAGCGTTCGTGATTTGGAAGCCTTCAAAAGCCTTGATCTTCTTCTTCGCCTCTGCTTCTTGACCCTGAAAGGCGTTAGTCCATAGTCACTCGAAATATGGGTTTGATTTACCATTGACACCCTAGGTAGATTTCGAAGTCAGCGTTGGTTTTTCAAACCACCATTTTTCACACTCACCACGTATCGGTCACCAGGATATCAGCGTCCTTTACAGCTTCTTCAGGTAGATTTGTCTCGGTGAGCTTTCCCTGTAACCGTGCATCTTTTCCAGACTCTTGTATTATCTCCTTCATTCTCTGTGGGATCTCATAACCCTTGGGAGTGGCGACAGATAAGTCGACTCCGAGTTTGAGCGCTGCTATAGCGAGGTCGAATAATACCTGTGTCCAGTCAAATTTCCCAAGTCTCCTGTTCGTACGTGGGCGAATTGTGACTGACGTTATTGGCATCACCCACCCATGCTATCTATCAAAAATATAGGGTCAGTATTTTCTCTTTTGAGAATAAGCTCGAGTCTCGAAAGGTTAGGAAAGTGAAGAGTTGCGATCAAACTTTGGTACTGAATAGCAAAAAAATTACTACTAACATGCATACCTTCAGGCCTTCCAGTCCAAGACCGGGTGTCGTTGATCTTTGCGGTGTTCGACTCGAAGAGAACGCCTCCTTAATTGTTAAACTAAGCAAAGCTCAAAATACGACTCTCAAGAAGATAGGGTCTACCCCTACAAGTCTGCGACAGTCTGCATAGGGTGAAAATCGTCCGATAGAGCGTTGATAATAGGGACTGAAGAAGTCTTTGAAACTTGTACGATATCGGAATGGGGTCCGCATCTCATTACCCAAGCAGCGACCATGGAACTTATGACGGTACTCGTATCGTGCAATGACTCATTTACCTGCATTACAGTCAGATCTGGTCGACCATGGGTCTGCAGTTGGTGTTTTCGATAGGTGTGAGACGGTACCCCTAATTGTATATCATCTTTCCCGAGACTTCGTGATAACAAGTCAGATCATATCTCTGACAGATGCCAACAGATACTTACAACATGGGATGACCTCCTAACGTAGCCACGGCGGCTTCAGTGCTTACACGAGTTCTTGTACTTCTTTTGTTGAAGGTCATAGCGACGGTCTTGCCCGTCAATGCTCCAAACAACGATGCCGGAACGGACCCAGATTTGACCGCTCTTTTATGGCTCTCGGCATTGCGTACCAGGCTCGTGAGTTCAGCGGAAGTAAGATCCTGGGACAGCATTAGCGTCTGTCTTTCTCAATGTTGGTGCGAAGATCATTACAGCGATGGAGAGTAGATGGCGAGGGGCAAACGGAGAAGTGGGAGGAGAAGCTGGTGACGAGTATGCCCTTTGTTGTAACTTCTCAAGAGAACTTCGAAGATATCGGGGCCGCAACGGGGCCATTATGGAGAGCTGCCCACTAGCTTTGCAAAGCCTGATGGCGGATATAGAAAGGCAGAGGAAGCTTGACAATTGGCAAACACTTCAACTGTAAAGTGTTTATTCTCATACAGCTGCAAGATAAAAGTGATGGCAAATTGAGTGCACTTGGGGGAAGATATTGGAGATATTAGAATAATGTGAGAAGCTTCGGAGGGTCGAAAAACAAATGTCAGTGCCAAGACTTCTTATTTACGAGAATCTAAATCTGGGGAAGTTCGTCATCAAGCTGCGGAGCCGCCCGCGATATGTAAAGTACCTTAGCAACCTGAGGGGCTCTAAGCGCCAACAATCTGTATTCCTCACCACTGTCACCTAACAAACCCTTTTCTGAGCTCCCATTCACCTGCCATCAGCCCGGACTGATGACCGTTCAGAGTCATAATGTCTGACCATCCTGCCTCACCCCTCCTTGGCGAAGCAGGCGCCGAACAATCAAGATCCGACAGACCTCCATCCCAGAAGTCGAAAGCCTCGACGAAATCAAAACATTCAAACCAGTCAAATCTCTCAGAGGAGTCGACTCCTCTTCTCCCACAAGACGCGAATAATCGCAATTACGGTGATGCACCAACGCATGACGAATCCCCCTCAGCTGCTGCCTCATCGTTAAGATCATTACAAAATGGGGGACCGAGTAAAGAGAAGTCTTCTCGAAGATGGCCAACAATCATTGCATTGACAATACTGGGTCTTGTGATTATCGTTATACTTTGTCTGGGTTTTGCCGCTCCAGAGGTAGTAGAAGAGTATGCGAGAGAAGCCATGGTCTTTGAGCCTACAGATCTATCAATAGACTCCTTCACATCAACGGGCGTAAGAGCAAGGATACGGGGTGACTTTACACTTGATGGGTCAAGAGTTCAAAAGAAACCTGTGAGGGACCTAGGCCGTGCCGGGACATGGATCGCAAGAGCTGTGGAAAGTAAGCGTTCGAACGTCAAGGTGTTTTTACCGGAGTATGGGAATCTTTTACTTGGAACTGCGGATGTGCCCCCGATCGTAATAGATATCAGGGATGGCCATACTACGCATCTCGATTTTCTGAGCGACCTTAAAGCTGGAGACCTGGATGGTATACGGCGAATGGCCAATGATTGGTTAGAAGGAAGGATTGGGGATTTGAGCATCAGAGGTGTTGCAGACGTTCCGTTAAAGTCCGGCATATTTGGTTTGGGTACACAGAGTCTTGCAGAGACAATCATGTTCAAGAGTAGGTACTCAGATGAGCTTATCCCTTAGCCCGACAATGCTAGGTCAGGAGCTAACCGTTAAGTAATAGAGCACCAACTCCCTACCATACCCAAATACAACATAACGAAGCTGAATATTCAGGAACTCAAGCTACCGAACGGTGAAAGAGGCATGGCAGTAGATGTTTCGCTCGCGTTGAAGAATGAGTATCCGGTCAAATTAGCGGTACCTTCACTTGGCTTTGATATCTTGGTCCAAGGCTGTTCTCCGGACGGACCTTACCTAAGGCTTGCAGATGCAAGGACCGAGGAGATCCAGCTGCAGCCCAAGAAAAATGTTGAGGTCCAAGTTGGCGGGTTTATCCAGAAGTTACCTGAAACACTCCTCGCCACGTGCCCACAGACTCAAAAATCACCGTTAGACGCTCTTCTCGGCGAGTACATCCGCGGGGATGAGACAACTATCTATGTTCGAGGTTCAAGCTCTGCATCAGGCAATACACCTGACTGGGTGAACGCGCTTATCCAGAGTATTACGGTTCCCGTTCCCTTCCCGGGGAAGAGCTTTGATAGTCTCATTCGCAATTTTTCCTTAGCGGACGTCCACTTTACTCTGCCGGATCCGTTCGCTACACCTAATACACCCGAAGCTTCGCCCAGGATATCTGCAACTGTCAAAGCCCTCGTTGGTCTGCCGGCAGAAATGAACTTCCCAATCGACGTTGGCCGTGTCCGTGCAGATGCCGACGTGTATTATCATGAAAAGAAGCTCGGCCGTCTCGACCTGAAGAAATGGCAGAAAGCGAACACGACACGAATTGAGGCACACGACGATATCGAAGCAGGTTTAGCCGTCCAGTCCACAGTCAAGAACGCTCCTTTGAAGATAACCGATGATGATGTCTTCACAGACGTTGTGGAAGATTTAATTTTCGGTGGCAAGCCGGTGGTGCTGGGTGTCAAGGCTGAAGTGGATGTAGAAACAGAGACAGCGCTTGGGAAATTTGTTGTGCGAGAGATTCCGGCTGAGGGAAAGGTTTTTGTCAAGCGTTAGTTTCCTACTTTTCATGCATGTATGATAGCATTACGGCGTTGGAAGCTGATGGTTTGTAATCTAGCAATATCCGGTGGAGACCTGAAAGGCTTCTCACCTCAAGTTGGCTCCTTACGCATTCTGGAAACCACGAGGTCAACGCTCTCGTTGGAAGCTAAAATCAACATAACGAATCCTACCGAATATTCCGCGATCGTACCGTATGTGAATATCAAAATGCTAAGCAATGGCACAGAAATCGGCCATGCAACCGCTCGACATGTCTCCGTCGTACCTGGGCCGAATCACAACATTCTCGTCGAAGCTCTTTGGGATCCTTTGACTCCAAGTGGACAGAAGGGACTAGCTCAAGGAAAAGAGCTCCTCTCACAGTATATATCTGGTCAGCAGCCCCAACTCGACCTATGTTTTGCCCCCACCCTTCATCCCATAACTAAATCGAGCAGGCTTCAATACATCCCTCACTCTCGCCACCCACGCCGGCACGATCCCTCACCAACCCAACCTCGGCAAGGCCCTCTCCTCCCTCTCCATCGACATCCCAACCCCCAAGCTCACACCGCCCAAAAACCCAAACCGAGACCCAGACGATGAAGGTGACAACGACCGGGACCCCAACGCCCCAAAGTTCATCGACGACGCTACGTTCCATCTCATCACCTCCACCGCAACCTTCACCCTGCTCTCGCCCCTTCCTCGTTCCACCATCACGATCACGTATCTGAACGCCACGGCTTACTACAACCACACGGAAGCCGTGGGCGCCATCCTGTACGAATTGCCCTTCGAGGTGCCGCCCGGTGCGAGCACGAGCCCGAGGTTGCCCGTCGACTGGGACCTGGGGAGTGTGGGGTACGAAGCCGTCAAGCAGGCGCTTGGGGGCAGGTTGAAGCTGGATGCGAGGGCGGACGTGGGGGTTGGGGTTGGCATGTGGCAGCAACGGGTCTGGTTTATGGGGAGGGGTGTTGGGGCTGGGGTGAGATTGTGATTGTTTTGGAAGCTCGGACTGCAGCGAAGGGAAAGGTCATGACACGATTATTGTCTGGGGTCGAGTGGTTGGGCGGTAGGCGTCGCGCGTTGGTGAGGTATGTGAGTACGTCGAAACGGGTGCAAATGGTCTACGAATTTTATGCAAATGCGCTTGCATCTCCTCTGGACGTGGTTCATCGGAAATGTCACATATACACAGCGGGAAATAGTGTATACACAAACATCTGGTTATATGCAGTATGTACCATGGGATGTTTTACGAGAACGCCGACGCTGGATCGAGATATAAAGCATCAAACATAGATTACAGGCCACTATCCTGGCGGCAGAGAGCTCGCATCTACAACATCACCAGCCTCCTTCTCAAGTTCCTCTGCGCCGCCGTCCAATGGTGATCGAGGCAAAGCCATCAGGCCAGTCCGTGCAGACTCCAAGATGCCAAAGGGCGAGATGAGCTTCATGAAGGCATCTATTCGAGGAGGTTTCGCAGAGCTGCACCCGATGTCAGCGGTAACCGGCAGGCAAAGACGTGGGGGAAACTCACATCTCAACAATACAATTATTGGTGCTTATATCCAATACCTTTCCGCCAAATTGATGCGTCAAATGCGTGATGGCATCCAAATGCTCATACTTGTGTCTCAACGCCTGACTGGCCGCCAGTCGATTGGGATGATAATCGGCGTCGGGTCCTCCGCGCTGCTGCCCCGGTGTCTCCGCATCCGTCGACTGCGCCATTTCCTCGAGCTTCGAAGCGTCCGCTGCGGACATCTCCCTGTGATGAGCCATGAGGTCTTCGAAATACTCCGGGCCCAGGATCGAGATCTTCGCGAGCAGCAGTTCCCGCTGGACGAGGGGCGCGGCCGTGTAGTCCAGCACCGCCCACACGGGGACCAAATCCTCCAGTTGCCGACGAGCCTGCTCTACCACCCCATCCTGGCCGGACAGCACGATTGTCATGCGGGACAGATCTTCCACTTCCGTGTTGCAGACGACCAAGCTGTCAATGTTGAACCCCCGTGCCGCCAGAATACCAGAGACGCGAGACAGGACGCCCGGCTCATTTTGCACGAGGCAATTGAGTATGTGCCGTTTTGGCGCGAGCGCCGAGGGCAGGGGCGTTTCGTAGAGAATCGAGGATACAGCAGCCGGGGCGGACCATGAAGGGAGCGAGTCTTGGGTCGGGAGCGGGTTGATGCGGCGGTGGAGAGCTTTGTAGGCTAAAGCAGAGGTCGAGGAAGAGCTGTGTTGCGTTCTCCGGGGGAAAAGATGCTTCGAGGTTTGACAGCTGGGTTTAGCGAGTGTGATACGCGAAGGAATGGAGGTGAGGGTGCGGCGGGCGGCCATTGCGGCCTGATGTTCGAGTATATGCACCAGATTGAGGTGCTTTCAGTTCGGCCTAAATGCTCTGCTCACCGTCCTAGACAGTGGTATAATAATACAGGTGCAATTTTGAAGTTCACCTTAGAGCGTCGGAATCTTCGAACTGGGGTACAGCGCGCTAAGCCTTACAAGGCGAGTGCGGCCAACCTAATCATCACGAAGCTTGCAATCACGACATACCATCGATATCGAGACAGCAAACGAATAAGGTATGGTAAGATGAGCTCTGTGTAGTCAAATGCACGTATTGACAACGCAGATGCTTTCACGAACCGCCATCCGCGCCTCCAAGGCACCGTCCATGATCGCCAGCCGTGGCTTTCGAACCTCTGCAGCACGCCTCT